TATCTTTCAATTAATTCTCTCAGCAATGGTTTGCAGTTTTCAGTGAAGAGATCTTTTACATCTTTTGTTTTTGATTTATCCCCAAGGATTTCAAAATCTTTTGATGCTATTGTAAATAGTATTTTTTTTTAATTTCAAGTTCCAATTGTGTGTTGCTGGTATATGGAAATACAATCGATCTTTGTATATTGATCTTGCATTCTGCAAATAAAACTTTATATTAGTTTTAGTAGCTTTTTGTAAATTCCATTGTCTAGAACTACCTAGACTGGCATGTCATCTCTGAATGAAGACTGTTTTACTTCTTCATTTCCAACCTGGGTGACTTATTTCTTCTTGAATTGAATTGAGATGTAGTAGTCCTGGAAGTACAAGGACCTGAGTTTCAATATCTACTCTACCATAAATCACTGTGGAAACTTTGACAAGTCCCTTTTGCTCTTTGAAGCCCAGTTACCCGAAAAGTGATCTGTAAATCCTCCCTGAACTCTAACATTCAGTGAGACAAAGGATGTACTCTGAAAGGTATTAGCACTCTGGTTGTAATCCACAGCTTCACAGCTTCCTGCCTCCGGGCCTCTGGGTCCTACCCTCTTCCCGTTATGCGACTGACTCATTGTGCCCATGACAGTTGGGTTGAACCAGAGAGTGTCACTTATTCTCCTCCCAACTGTCCAGGGAAATAGGGGAGTGGCCCAACTGGTTCATTCTTTCACCAGTTGTTCTGCTGCCTCCTGTTGGCAAGACCCAGCCTGCAGGGCAAAGGCTGAAGTCTTTAATTCACGAAAAAATTAGCTGAGGGCCACATTTGTAGAAAAAGAAACTTTGGGTTTTTTTGTTTTCATTTTAAACGCATTCCATTTTCCTGCTTTTGAATTCAGTCCTTATCAATAATGTAATGTTATACTGTGCTGAGATAAGGTAGACTAAAAAACTGAATTGGGAGTTCAAGATTTGCAACTGCAAACTACTATGTATAAAACAAACAAGTTTATACTATACGGTACAGGAAACAATACTCAATATCCTGTAGTAACCTATAATGAAAAGGAATGTGAAAATGAATATATGTATGTTCATGTATGACTGAAATATTATGCTGTACATCAGAAAGTGACACAACATTGTAAACTGACTATTCTTCAATAAAAAAGAATTCAGATTTAAAAAAAAAACTGAAAAGACACAGTCCTGTCCTGCAGGAACTTGAATCCAGCAGGGGAATGGTCCACCTGCTCTCCATTCGTATGGGAGAGGAACAGGCAGACAGAATTACACTGGACTATGTTGGAGAAGTTCTGAATCTTGGAAAGTAGGGAACTGGGCAATTCCAAGGCATGGTAAGCATGCGAAGTATAGCAGATTTTAAAAGTTCTTTTGAGTCTCCCTGTATCTGGATCTTATTCCTATATTTGAGAGATGCTCTTCCTTCTGAGAAGGAGCCCACCTCCCACCAGAGGGAAGGCTTGTCCAGCCTCCCTGACATCCAGGGCATCACCTAAGTCTTTCCAATTGGATGTCCTCACCTCAAATTCTGAATCCAAAGCTGGTGATACAGGAACCATGCAAACCCCTTCGGGTAATGGAAGGCAGCAGTGGCTACATCTGACTCCCCCACACAGTGGTAGTATATTCAGTTTCTAGAATTCAGAATCATCTGCTCCAACTCTTTCATTTTACAAATGCAACGTGGACTAGATGAAAACCAATCCAACAGGGACAGGCAGAGGCTGTTTATTCACAGCTTTTTGCAGCTAGGGAGTCAGCCACCATCACATGTTCTGGCAGAGACTCAAAGGCCTGCAGGAGTGGGAAAGCTTTTCAAGAGAAACCAAGGAAGCCTTCAGGCAGGCCTTGATGGGAGGCTGTTGGCATGGGGAAGCTGCCAGTGGACTAGCTAGAAGCAGGGCATCTTATGTGATTGGTTAGGGGTGCATTATTTGTTTTTTTTTCTGGTTCATGCTAGGTTGGAATTGGGGGACCAAATTTAGGGAAGCTCTTGGTTTTTAATCAAGTCTTGGCCATTTGGCTGTCTTGGCTTCCTGGGCAGGTTCCTAGAGACAGTGGTCTGACTTTATACAAGTCTGGCTTACAGACAGCAGACTGATCATGCAAATCATGGGTTGGTTTCCTTAGCTTTTTGTTGCAGATGGTGGATCAGAGTTCTGTTTTTATGCATGATCTAGTCCACTTATATATTCAGTCTCTCAGCAGAAACCGAGACCTGGAGAAACAGAGTGGTCTAAGATTCTTATCCAAGATCAAAGAGCTAAGAGTAACCAGAACTAATAGGTTGACCTGAGATTTAGCGTGTTTATCCTGTTCCCTTCAAAGGAACTTGTTCTGCTCGCAGAGGAGACAAGGTTTCAACCCATGGAAATAATTAAGTTCCATACAGATGTCATAGAGGTAAGTTGCACAAGGAAATTAATAGTTAGTGCTACAGTTTGGCAGAAAGCCTCATCACTTTCCTTTTTAGACAGAACCCCCTGCTGTAACCTCTGCTGATCAAGTGCTCTCTGTGTACTGGGCAACCCAACCAGCCAGCAAGATGAAGAGGTTAAATGCGTGATTCTCCAGGCTGCCTACTCTGTTCATATTTTACCGTCACCACTGTTAGCTGTGTGAACTTGAACAAGATACTTTGGCTTTCTAGCCTTCAGTTTCCTCATCTGTGAGATAGGAATGACAATGATGCCTATTTCATCATGCTCTTGTGCAAATTAAATGAACGGACACTTCCAACACACTGATACTTAATACGTGCTTGTACACGTTAGCTGTGACCATCCCGTTCAGTCTTCGCATCAGCCCAACGTGGTAAGTGGTAGGGTCCCTACTTTGCAGGTGAAGAAACTAAGGATGGTTACGTCATTTGTCCAAGGTCGTGAACATCAGAGTCAGAATATTCATTCATGTCTCTACGAAGCCCAAACTCACTATTCTTTCTCTCTGTGCTTCTGAACACGGGATGTCACAGCTGGGAAAGAAGACAGCAGGCAGGGGAAGCATATAGGGCTGTGGTATCAGTGTGTCTAAATTCAACTCTTGGTTCTGCCCTTGCACAAATTACTTACTATCTCTGAGCACATTTTCACTTGCAAACTGGTAATAATGCTATCTACCTCATGGGGTTGTTTTAAGGATTAAATAACATAGTGTATGTGAAGTTCCCAGGACGGTGCCTGGCATGTGACAAGTACATAGTAAATGACAACAATCCTTTGAATAATTGGAATTGGAAGTGACGATTGTAAATCATTCTTTAGAGTCTGTCCCTCAAGGGGCCCACTTCCATGAAGTTTTGCCTTAGTCCCCATACTGGCCTGACACTCCACTGCTAGATTCCCCATTATTGGTGCTATGGTAGGACAAGCAGAGATGAGACAGATGACTTGGAGGGGAAGATGGGTCCTGTAGGGGAGAGGAATAGACAGACAAAGAGGTAACAAGTCAGTGATTACATGGGAACGTGGAGTTCCAAAAAACCAAGGCTTCCCATGGCCAAGGCTTTCAGAAGAGCTAGAAATTCTTCCTAGGAAGCAAATAGATGAGTTTCACCCTCAGGTCTGTGGGTCAACCTGAGACATGTCCATCTGAAAGACACACTTGGCAGGGAAGACCTGCCTCCTCTTTGCCACCCAGTGTCTCTTGGACATATTGGTTCTAATCTTAACACCGAGTTCAGTGAAGTTGGCTTCTCAACTATTCCTTGAGAATCAAAGCTGAGTTGTTTGTCAGACTGGTCAGAGGAAACCAGGATATGTGCAATGGGAAGATCTGATAGAAGAAGAGTGATAATAATGTGGCACATGAAAGCAGAAAATGCCTTGTTTCAAGGAACATGGAAGACCATCTCTTCCATCACCCTGGACATAGATGTCATTATCTTGTTTTCTCAGAGGAAGAAATTAAATTCCAAGTACGTTAAGTTTTACAGCCCAGATCACTCAGATAATAAGAGTTGAATTGTGATTTGAATCAAAAAAAAATCTGGAAAGAATACACCTAAATATTTCAGAGTGGTTGTCTGTGGGTGATCAGATTATGAGTGATTCTGATTTTGTTCTTTATATTTCTTTGTATTTTTGAAATTTTCTCTATCAGGCAGTTGTTACTGAATAATGTGAAAAGAGAAATCTAAGTGATTTGAACTCCATCGGGGCCGGGGGTGAGGACTGGGAGCACAAACTGGAAGCAGCAAGGACAGCTCACTGTGGGAGCATCGGTCTGCTCTTCCTGAAACTGAGAAAACTAAACTCAAGCGAGATGGAGAGGAAGGAGGCAAGCAGCCCAGGCCAGAATTCTGGCTCCTTAGAGCCCAGGGAAGCTTGGCATGAAAAGAGCCTGGAAAGAGAACACTGATTTCACAGTTGGTCCTAAACACAAAGACTTGATCCAAGAACAACCTAGACATGGGAGTTGGCCAGAATCCAAAATGGGAGGGCCTCAAAAGAGGGCTCATGCCCCAACTCAGGCAAGGCTCAGGGCCTTTGCACCTGTGTGTTCTTAACCCTTAACATAGAACCTCCTCTTTGTGCAGCCCTTTGTCATTTGTGTTGCAATCAAGGCCTCTGACACAAAAGGATGAGAGTTTGAAATAAGAAAGAAAACAGCCTGCAGCGGGGACGGTGCTCATGCCAGTGAGGCTGGAGCAGGCAGGGCCGATGCCCCTCACCTGGTCACAGGCCTTGTATGTGGAGAGCAGAGCCGTGGGACCAGAGCTGCGAGTGCATGAGGAGGTGGAGCTGGGAACGCATCTGGCAGAGGACAGGAGGCCCAGGTTCCCGCTTGCATCTTCCTTCCCCAAAGGAGCAAGAGGCCCCCAGGTAATACGAGGTTCAAGTTCATCCCCATCATTGCTTCTGCTCCTCAAGCATTTTCAAACTCCAAGCAGATATTGTGCAAAAAAAAAAAAAAAAACCTTTATTTGTAAAATTACATTTTTGGCCACACAGGATTCCACAGCTGAAAAATAACACAAGTATAGGGTTGGGGAGTGGATTGGGGTTGGTCAGTAATTTTAAAACAAGCCTGTGATTTCACTTCAGAATTTCTTCCACAATCCACACTTCAGAGTCATTGGCTCAGTTTTAAATATCTCAGAGAGCCTAGGCAGTCAGGAAGCATGTCCTTAATTTAATAAAAATGTATAGCCTCGCCCCACCACTCCCCCAGATTTAGAGGGTTTGTTCACTATATGAAAACCTGTTTTCATACCTATTCTAGTCAGGGTTTAAATATAATCCATGAATTGCTTTCAAAAGTCTTCTCTTCAAATACAAAAATAAATAAGTTAAATAGTAAAAATAAATAAAAAATTAACTAATAAATATACCCAACAGTAGAAAAGATGTTGCTAAAATCTTAGAAGGCTGTGGTCTAGATTAAGAGCAGGAACATATAAAGATAACCACAATAAGGGAACAAATAATGTATAAATAATATACACGGTGGCCAGCACTGAATTCTGTAACGAAGGGATGGAGGTTAGGGGCCCTGCCTCCTGAGGACTGGGGGTCTTGGCCCGGAGCCCTCTCAGCAGCAGCATCACTGTCCTCCTAGTCAATCGCCTCTATCCATCGCAGGAGAATGTCCAGCTCCCCCAGAGCCTTCACCACCGCTGCCTGAGGCTGAAGCTGGAAGACACAAGGTGCAGTGGTGAGCAGGTCATAGAGAGACAGCACATCCTCCAGCAGCAATCCTCTCCTTCCACTGGTAGGACTGCTGGGGATAGTAAGCAGGGCTTTTTTTTTTTTCTTAAGATGAAGAGCTTGAAAGACATTATGGAACCTCAAGATCTCACAAAAGGAAGGAGAATCACTGAGTCCGTCACCCTAGTCCTACACGGGGAAACTAAAGAAGACCAGGGTGGGTAGCAGAATTGGGACCACAACCCAAGCCTCTTGAATCACAGAGATTAAAGTAATTAGGCTGTTTTTTTTTTTAAATAAAGACGTGTGTCTGTGTGAGTGTGTGTGCGTGGATGTGTGTGTCTAGGGGTTGCCTATTGTGCATACTTCAGTTGGAACAAATGTTTATCGTGCTGAGCATTGGGCTGCCTGGGGATTCAGGGATGAATGGCACAGTCACAACCCACGGGGAATTCACAGTCGAGTGAGGGAGACAGACAGAAGCAGGCAATGAAAATGTAGTGAGGTAGATAGATGGTGGAGTCCGCACAGGATGGCAGGGAGACACCTAACTCTGAGAGATACAGCCAGTACCTTCCAAGAGGTGATGCCTCAGCTGGCCCAGAGGATGAGAGGAATTAGTGAGTGAGGAGTGGACTCTGGCTTTCCTGGCAAATGTGCAAATGCATTGAGGTGAGAAACAGCATGGCATGGGCATGTGTGAAATTGTGAGTGACTGTTTTTGAGGGTGAGTATAAGTGTGTGAACGGCAGAAAACTATTGCCTCTCATTTGTGTAGCTGGAAGATCCAGATGTCTCTGGAGTGACTTGAGGGAATCATGGCTATTCCTCCTTGATTCCCAGAGCATCTTCTGGAGACAGCACCCTTCTAGAGCCTGACTGGGTATCCCCGGGTTAAAGCAGAAAGGTAGATAGTCCATATGACCATACAGAGCCATTAGCCTGAAGGCTATAGGATTTTTTTGAGTATGAGTACCCATCCCATCCACCTATGATCTCAGTTCTAAGAACACATTCATCCCAACCAAGGCCAAAATGACATATACCTCTTCGAAGTGACTCAGAATCTGGCTGTATTTTTCCATTGCTTCCTCTCCACAAGGGCATGACATATGCGCATGCTGAAAAGAATACCAAAGAATGACAGATTTTGTTAAAGAGTCTGATTTTCAGCCTTTGCCATTGAAAGAAGTCCGATTCTTCCACCCACAGAAAAGTCTTTTCAGACTCATCACTGGGAATTGCTAAACTCGTCATCAGCTGGAAGAGGAAGCCAGCTTTTTAGGCTCAAATAGGAGCACCTTGCTTCTTTTCAGAAACAGGTGGCAATGAAGGAGTCTGTGATCACTGGATCCCACCTGGCTTGTACTCCTCACCCCAGCTCTCTCTGACTCCCTCCCAGAGATCCTCCATGGGAAGAGAGAATTGGACAGATCCTATGTTGACCCTAGCTTGAGATTGAGTCTAGTGGTTTGCTGATTGGCTCTCTGGACACAGGATGCACCAGTATACCGTAGGATAACTCACCTACAGAAAAAGTACAATTTCGTGGATAATAGACAATTATCAGCAACATCAAATAGCTAGCGCTTTAGAGTTCTTTAGACATTTTGCATGGAGCATATATCCAAAAGTCAGTATAACCGAGTTCTTATTACCTAGTTACATGGCTCAACACAGGTTATTAGAACTCTTGACTCAGTTTTTCCATTTGTTAAATGGGGGTAAGAAAGAACGTGATTGCTAAGTCATCAAAGCTATGTGCTGAAACGGATCCTTCTACCCAAGACTCTTACTCACACAGAGCCGGAGGTCCTTCTTGATGGCAAGAAACGAGTTGGCGAGACTGCTGATCTTCCGGAGGACATGGTGGTCAGGGGTCTGGTAGTTTTTGAACACCCTGTCCAGGTAGAGTCTCAGTATGTGGCGGAGGAGGCAGCACTGATATGCAGGCTACAAAGCAGACGAGTATGTTGGTGGGGGAAGAGTGCCCAGGGACAAGGGTGATGGAGATGCCCCCAATTCTTATTTCCTCCAAGAACTCATACAGACCAAGCACATACCGTTGTGTCTTGCAAAGAGTGAGTCTTCTTCAAGATTCTGATGTCAAGGATTTCATCTTTGGTTTGCTAAACAGAAGGAGGCAAGGCAAGTCAAGAAAGTCCAGGTCAGTGACTGCTGCCAAGGTCTTAGACTTTAAGACCGCTCATCCCCTCCCTGACATGGTCCCATGGGCAATGTCCCTCTCCAAAACACCTTTAAGTTATGAACTACAGATACTTCCTGGGAATGCATCCTCCTAATAAGGGGTCCCCAGCTTGTCTTTTTTGTGATCATACTGCTGGCAGACCAAGAAAGACAAACAGAGAAGGGGAGAGGTGACATGGTCACCAAGAGAAGGGTGGGGTGCCTCCCTTACATACCACACTGCTCTGTATCTCCGCAAATCCACTTCGAATTCCCTGAAGGTTTGTGGTGATCACACAGCTTCCCAAATGGAGTGTCTTTAGACCGGCAGAAGGTGTCCAGGAGAGATAAAACACAGCAGAGAGAAGGCAGAGGGGAAGACCAGAGCCTCTCATCTTGTGCCAGAATCTGGAGACCACAAGAGCTAGGAATTCAAAGGAAAGAGCGTGACTTACTGATTTCTCCATCTCATGCCTTAAGAAGCCAATCCAGTCACTGGGGACATGCCTCCCCACCCTCAGCGTCCCTGGTGAAACTTAATTGCTTTTTCTGACTTTGAATGGTCTGGCCTATTCATCTAACTTACTAAGAAAAACTGCTGCACCTCCTGGAAGAGAAGCCTTCGAGTGCTCGTTCAGGGTTCTGAGTATGAGTTGGTGCTGCAGGTCCTGGCTGCTTTATCCTGTCCCCATCCTAGCCCCATCATCATTGCCCAACAAGTAAGGCCTGGAGCAGTAGGCACTTGCCATGAGTAGACAGAGGATGACATTTCAGGGGAAATGTCAAAACTTGTTTTGGCGAATTGACGTATATAGTCTTCCCCTCCAGAATGCCTGTGGAGCTCACCCTTCTGGTCCCCGCAGACCCACAGGGGAACTGAGGGAAAGCAACCTCATAGACGTTGTTGCTGAGCCAGCAAAAACACTTGGAGGAAACTGTCTGGATTTTATGGCCACCCCCAGGGCAGAAGAGCTTAGCTCTATTTGGCATTTATCTGACATCAGATCAGTTATTTGAGGATAACAGATTTATTTCAGCCCCAAAGGCAAATAGAAAGTCAGTGATATCATAGCACCCTATTGCCAGGGAAAGGCAAGTTCTGATGGGCAATCAGCCTATTTCCACCCAGCACTTCTCCTCCCTCCTGAGGTGTGTGGACTCCTCAGCGCCCTCTGCAGGAGGACTGTAGTCAGTTACACCTGGCATGAATCCATGAGTAAGCTGTCACTCAGGCCATCAAGTAAGTGATCCTAAAAGAAAGAGGAGAAAGGTGGGAGGGAACCCATTTCTTCTTGGGTGAGGCTTGCTCCGTAAGAGGGCACTTTATAGTGTCTGCTGAGTTTTAAGATAAAAGTAATGATGGGCTGGGATTAGGGTGAGGGGAGTGAAGCACTCTCTTTAGGCACAAAATTTAAGGAGGAAAAAACAAGTTTCTACTGTAGAGCACAGGGAACTATATTCAATATCTTGCAGTAACCTATAATGAAAAAGAATATGAAAACGAATATATGTATGTATGTGTATAAGTGAAATATTATGCTGTACATCAGAAATTGACACATTGTAAACTGACTATGTGTCAGTAAAAAAATTTAAAAAATGAATAAATAAATATTTAAGGGGAAAAAGTCTCAGTAATCAAGTTAAATAATATTTTAATGTGATATCAAAATTAATGGGAAAATCCATGACGAACAAAGTGGCCATCATTTAAAGACAGAATCTGAAAATGCCATGCTGAGCCAAGATCAAAGGGAAAATGAGGGCTCCTATCTCTCTGTCTGTCTGTCTATCCACCTATATCTGTGCTTATCTGTCTGTGTATCTTTATCCATATCTATGTTTTTATGTATCTTTAGTGATTAATTTTTCCCAGAAATATATGATAAAAAATTAGGAGTTTTCTTCCCTTAAAAATAGGAAAGCAAAATGATGATAAATTCTGTCTGAGACATAAATAACATATCTAATATAAAACAGAAACAGACTCATAGCCATAGAATACAAACTTGTGGTCGCCAGGTGGGAGGGGGGTGGGAAGGGACAGACTGGGAGTTCGAAATTTGTGGATACTGACAGGTACATATAGAATAGATAAACAAGTTTATACTGTATAGCACAGGGAAATATGTACAAGATCCTGTGGTAGCTCACGGTGAAAAAGAATGTGAAAATGAATATACGTATATTCATGTATGACTGAAAAATTGTGCTCTATACTGGAAATTGATACAACATTGTAAACTGATTATACTTCAATAAAATAAATAAATAAATAAGATATTTAAGCTTAAAATAATATGAGTTGTAATACAGATACTTTTCAATTTTTCAATAATTTTCAACTACTTTAATGTTTTGGAAAAAATAACCCACATAATATAATCAACACATATAAATAGGGGTGTACGTCGCTCCCTTGCGCCTTAGGCTCCAATACGGCTTGGCACAACACCTACTAAATTTTTCCCACCAGGCAATATGTTAGGTGTACTTTACCTTCATGTCCACCTGCGATGCTGCCAAATGGAGGGAAAGAGAATAAACAAACCAAACCCCAAAGTATCAGCAAGACCTCTGGGTTTGAAGACGAGAGAACGAGGCTCTACAAGTCCCCATCAGTGTAGGTCATCCCAGTTCTCCCAGGACTAAGGGGGGGTCCAGGAAATAGGACTTTCAGTTTTAAAACTGGAAAAGTGACAGGTAAATCTGGATGAGTTATATCACCCTATATCTTTGTGACCTTAGACAAATCAACTCACCTGAGTTTTGTTTTCTTAGCCATCAGTGGTGATAATTAAACTCACCGCAGAAATTTGTTTGGACGTTTAAATAAAATGATGTATGATTTATGCACCTAGCATGGAGTGAGTCATCAGTTCATTTTAAATAGGGAATGATATTAGTTGCCTTGAACATAGTAGGTGTATGGTAAATGTATATTAAATTCAACAATTCGATCAACATTTATTAAGCACCCACTGTTTTGAATATCATGCTAGGTACTGGAGTACAAAGATGAACCTGACAATTCCTACCTTCTCGGGTATTTTGTCCTAATGGAAAGGGCTCCCTTAGACATGGCCCTGAAGACAGCTGGGTAAAGGACTGGGAGAACTGGGCTGCTCCCCAGAACTGTGTGAATAGCGTGGAGAGAGGGAGCTTCCTTACCTGAGTTCAGGAAGGGCTGCTGCTCCTGGTCTCCTAGGAGTGTCTCAAGCTAAGAGGCTGCCAATAATGTATGTATATATATATGCCACATGAAGGAAGTCAGCTCCCGCAGGTGAGGGCTGAAACTCCCTTGGAATTTCTCTGGTGACACTGCACTTCCTCCCAGCCTCAGGCAGTTTAATTGCAGGCTGGATTACCTCAACACCTTCCTCCTCTATGAAGCACTTCTCTGGAGACTACCGGTTATAGTTCTTGGTTAAAAGATACCTCGTTCTTCCTGGCTCCCTTCCAGAAGGGAAGTAACATGATCTGAAGGACAGAAAAGATCGCTAAATTACAGAAGAGGGAGAGAATTCCAGGAGATGCTTTTGCCCCTTCCTCTAAACCCAGTTCTCCTAACCAGGTGTCTCCCCAGCCCCGGACACTGTGTGCTCACTCTTGCTGTTTCTCCTTTGCTTTTGCTATTCCCAACATTTCTCTCCAACAACGCTACCCTACTTCCTCTCCATTCATCATTAAAGAGTGGACCCCAATTCTTTATTCCTACACTACTCTAGTCCAAAGCAATCCCTCCCTTCTCTGACTTCCAATAGCAGATTTTTCTTTGACACACAAGGGAGTCTAATGTTGTCCTCTGTTTCATGAGTCTTAGCCTTTTCTCCCTAATGGCACTGGAAGATATTCTTTTTTTTAACATTTTTTTATTGAGTTATTGTCATTTTACAATGCTGTGTCAAATTCCAGTGTAGAGCACAATTTTTCAGTTATACATAAACATACATACATTGATTGTCACATTTTTTTTTCACTGTGAGCTACCACAAGATCTTGTATGTATTTCCCCGTGCTATACAGTATAATCTTGTTTATCTATTCTACATTTGCCTGTCAGTATCTACAAATTTTGAACTCCCAGCCTATCCCTTCCCACTCCCCACCCCCTTGGCAACCACAAGTTTGTATTCTATGTCTATAAGTCTATTTCTGTTTTGTATTTATGTTCTTTTTTTTTTTTAGATTCCACATATGAGCGACCTCATATGGTGTTTTTCTTTCTCTCTCTGATTTACTTCACTTAGAATGACATTTTCCAGGGACATCCATGTGTCCCTGCAAATGGTGCAAATGGTGTTAAGTTGTCGTTTTTACAGCTGAATAGTACTCCATCATATAAATATACCACATCTTCTTTATCTAGTCATCTGTTGGTGGACATTTAGTCTGTTTCCTTGCCTTGGCTATTGTAAATAGTGCTGCTATGAACATTAGGGTGCAGGTGTCTTTGGAAGATATTCTTAGACAGGGACTAATCCATCAGGTAGGACCGCACCTAGAGGTAAGATTAAATTAAGGCAACTGAGATTAACCTTAGACAATGCTTTGAAAACTATCAAGATAGTAGGGATTATACTATATTCCTTTGAAACTTTTTTCCTACCCAATTACGAAGACTCTGCAGTCCTGTATTTGAGTCTAGGGCTTCCCTAGTTTACAGGATGACTTTGGCACATTATTTCATCTTTCTGGATTTTAATTTGCATGGCTGCAAAGTGGGAGCTATAGAACAGGTAATGAGTAAGACCTTTTCCAGTTCTGACATTCAGTGTTCCTGTGATGCTTCACTCTTCCTTTGATCAGAACATTCTTTTTAGTGTCTTTAAAATGTCTTCCTAAAGTTCCTTGAAAATGAAGACCATAACTTTTCATTGTCATGTTTGATAAATATTGGAAAGCATGTGTGAATATCTAACCTGAATATCTCTTGGGCTCACGCCTCTTTTTCCATCCTCCGTGTTAAGAAAACAATTTTCCATGATCATCCTTAACTGTGATTAAAGTAAAATTGAGAAACATGGTCTGACAAGAATATTTTAAATCAAGACTTTCAGGAAATATAAGCTGTTACACTGCCAGTCAATTCCCTTCCATTCACCGAGATTGTTTGGTCCTAAGTTAACCGTAACAATTAAGCAAACTTAGTTGTTCATGGACAATCCCAATTTCACTTTAATAATGAAGTCTCTCCTTTTCCCATAGCAAAATACTTTGTTTTTTCAAATCCACTGAATAGATCCCATTCCACCCTGCAAAGACACGATTCAGTTTATCTGCTATTAAAAAACTTCTCACCCTAACTTCTGTCTCTCTCTACACCCCCATCTACCAAGGCAGAATTGATGCCTCCCTTTCACCATTGCCCCCTTTACTTTGTGTATGTCTTCTGTACTTATCACAGTGAACTGCAGTTTTGGGTTCCATATCTGAATCTCCCACTAGCCTGAGAGCGCTTTGTTCAGCTTTATGGTCCCAACACTCGATGGCTCTCGGCAGGTAAATACCTGATGACTGTTGAATGAGTATGTTGATTCAGAATTGTTCCTTCCTTGTGTTATATCATAAAACCACAGGATCTCAGGCTTAGCTGAACCTAAAAATGGAGACATACAAACCCATC